GTCTGTGCCTTGCGCAGCGCATTCACTTAACTTAGTTGGTGTTAACACCTTAGACGGCAGTAGCCCAGAGGCTGACGAGTTTTTAAACATGTTGCAGTCACTGTGCACATTTTTCTCTTCATCCACACACAGATGGGGGAAAGTCTTTCAGAAGACAGATGTCAGACTGGCATTACAATGGTTGTCCAGTACTCGGTGGAGTGCTCGGGCAGAGTCAACCACGGCAGTGTGGAGAAATGACACCCACATTGGAGAGGCCTTCGGTGGTGCGTGCAATGATGATAATGAGAAAAGAGACACTCGAATTGAGGCCGCTGGACTATGTGCTAAATTGGACACCTTAGAGATGGTGTTCATGGCACATTTCTGGCATGTCGTGCTTGACCGGTTCCATGCTACAAGCATGCACCTACACAAAAGTGACTCTGACATCTCTGTAGTAGCGCAGCTTTTGATTTCGTTGATGGATTTTGTGGCGGGACAGCGAGACCAGTTTGAGGCTTTTGAGAGGGCAACCTTAAATGTGACAGGTGTCTCAGTCATATGAGCACGATCTTCAGCGAGAGAGAAATCGCAAAACATTTGCAGATGAGAGCTCGGAGCCAGGTGTGACACTTGAGGGGAGGGGGAAGTTCAAGATAGAAACATTTATGTGGTCATTGATAAGCTCGTGGCATGCCTTGAACATCGCTTGGACACTTACAAGCGTTTGACCTGTCTCTTTGGAGTTCTGTTAATGTCAGATCAGGTGTCTAACAGTGATGTCACAGTCGAAAAGGTAAATGCATTCTCCGCTGCATATCCATCAGACCTGGACATGAACTTTGCCAACGAACTCATCCAATTCAAGTCTTTCATGTCTGACTCTGAGGGTGAGAAATGCCCAACTAAATTGCTTGAGACGTTGCAGGCACCTAGTCTGCTGTCGGTGTTCCCCAATGTTTTCGTGGCACTTTGGATTTTTCTAACTTTGCAAGTGACAAAGTGGCAGGGTGAGCGGACATTTTCCCTTTTAGGCGGAATAAAAAAATAGCTGCGGAGTAGCATCTGCCAAACTCGTCTCAGCTCATTGTCACTCATGTCAATAGAGTCAGACCTTGGCAGATAGCTAGATTTTGACGATCTAGTGGATGATTTTGCGAGGAGGAAGGTAAGAAAGACACCAACATAGGAAAGCGGGGGGGGGGGGGGGGGGGCTCCAAAAGACATGTGCCCAGGGGCCTCACAGGACCATGATCCGGCCCTGTGCGTGTTGTGTCGTATGCGTGCTGTGTGTAGTATGTGTGCTGTGTGTGTGTGCTGTGTGGTGTGTCTGGTGTGTGTGCGTGGTGTGTAGTATGCGTGCTGTGTGTAGTATGTGTGCTGTGTGTGTGCTGTTTGTGTGTGTGCTGTGTGTGTGGTATATATGTGTATGGTGTTTGTGTGGTGTGTGTGGGTGGTGTTTGTGTGGTGTGTGTGGGTGGTGTTTGTGTGGTATGTGTGTGGGTGATGTTTGTGTGCTGTGTGTGGTGTTTCTGGTGTGTGTGTGTTGTGTTTGTGTAGTGTGTGTGTGTGGTGTTTGTGTGGTGTGTGTGTGATGTTCGTGTGGTGTGTGTGGTGTGTGTGGTGTGTGGTTTGTGGTGTGTGTGGTGTGTGTGGTTTGTGGTGTGTGTGTTGTGTGTGTGGTGTTTATGGGTGTGTGTTTGGTGTATGTGTGGTGTTTATGTGTGTGTGTGTGTGGTGTGTGTGCGATGTTTGTGTGGTGTGTGTGTGTGTGGTGTTTATGAGTGTGTGGTGTGTGTGTGGTGTTTATGGGTGTGTGTGTGATGTTTGTGTGGTGTGTGTGGTTTGTGTGGTGTGTGGTTTGTGGTGTGGTGTGTGTGTGCTGTTTATGGGTGTGTGTCATGTGTGTGTGTGGTGTGTGTGTGTGGTGTGTGTGGTGTTTATGGGTGTGTGTGGTGTTTATGGGTGTGTGTGTGGTGTGTGTGTGGTGTGGTGTGTGTGGTGTTTATGGGTGTGTGTGTGGTGTGTGTGTGTGTGGTGTGTGTGTGGGGTGTGTGTGATGTTTGTGTGGTGTGTGTGTGGTGTGTGTGGTGTTTATGGGTGTGTGTGTGGTGTGTGTGTGTGGTGTGGTGTGTGTGGTGTTTATGGGTGTGTGTGTGGTGTGTGTGTGTGGTGTGTGTGTGGTGTGTGTGTGTGATGTTTGTGTGGTGTGTGTGTGGTGTGTGTGGTGTTTGTGGGTGTGTGTGGTGTGTGTGTGGTGTGGTGTGTGTGGTGTTTATGGGTGTGTGTGTGGTGTGTGTGTGGTGTGGTGTGTGTGGTGTTTATGGGTGTGTGTGTGGTGTGGTGTGTGTGTGGTGTGTGTGTGGTGTGTGTGTGTGGTGTGTGTGCGTGTGTGGTGTGTGTGTGTGTGGTGTGTGTGTGGTGTGTGTGTGGTGTGTGTTTGTGGTGTGTGTGTGTGTGTGGTGTGTGTGTGTGGTGTGTGTGGGGGGGGAATCGGTGGTGCAGCATTCCAGCGAGCTTCGCTACAAACCCGGCCA